TTTTTAAGCAAGCAAAAAGCAATATACCTTCATTTATTTCAGTAATAAAACTGCCAGATTTGCTGCTTGTTTTGATAAACTGCGCAGAAACAAACGGAGCAAAATCTAGAAACTCCATTCTGCTTTTTTTTCTCTTTTTATTTTTTCCTCTTATTTTTTTTTTTTTGAGCCACGTCTTATGGACTGGTCTAGAAGCAAAATGTTTTTGGTGTAGAGGTATTTTGATAAATCTCTTTGCAGAAAAAATGCAGTTTCTTCTTTAATGCTTTCTTTTCTTTCTAATTTCCATGCTAAATGTGTGTAGGTTGCACAAGAGCAGGTTAGTCTGTAACTGTGCCTCTGACTTCAACGTCCAACTAAACTGTAAAACCAGATCAAGTAGACGCTCTGTTGTTAGCCTTGGGTTTTCTTGTGCTTTGTATTCCAATTGTTGCTGTACTTAACAGATGAGAGGTTTCAAACTTAGCAACTGATAGGCCACAGGCAGAGGAGGAGGATGGTTCATTTGGCTTAGAGAACGTGTAAGGCAAAATAATGCTGTAGACAAGTGTAAATAAAACCTGTGAGTCAACCGTGCTCGAGTGCTTTGTCTTGGGAACAGTCGGCCTTCCCCGTCCCCTGCACTGCCCCTGGTTCTGTGTCAGCTCACCCGGGCCACGCACCCCGCGTGTTCACATCGTGAGCGGCTTTTCATTGCGACAGAAAATGAGCTTTTACAAGGTGTTCCCACAGAATTGTGGAATGTCTTGGGCTGGATGGGACCCATCAGGATCATAATCCAGACCCCCAACAACCCCAGCCTGGGCATCCCTGGCAGCGCTGCCCAAACCCTGCTGGAGCTTGGGGCCGGGACCATTCCCTGGGATCTGGGCAGTGCCAGCACCTCTGGGGGAAGAACCTTTCCCAAAATCCACCCTGAGCTCCCCTGGCCCAGCCTGGGGCCGTTCCCTCTCCTCCTGTCCCTGTTCCTGGGAGCAGATCCCAAATCCCCCCGGCTGTCCCCTCCTGCCAGGGACTTGTGCAGAGCCAGAAATTCCCCCTGAGCCTCCTTTGCTCCAGGCTGAGCTTTCCCAGCTCCCTCAGGGATTCTCCAGCCCCTTCCCAGCTCCCTCAGGGATTCTCCAGCCCCTTCCCAGCTCCCTCAGGGATTCTCCGGCCTCTTCCCAGCTCCCTCAGGGATTCTCCAGCCCCTTCCCGGCTCCCTCAGCCCTCCCG